GGCCCCCTCGCTCCCCCCCTTGCTCCGTCGCGGGGGTTGGGGCGAGTTGTTGCCGCCGAAGGAGGCGTCTGCGGGCGCGGGGAGGAACCTGTGCGTGACTTGCCCGTGCGTGGCTCTTGTGGTGTTGGATCTCTGCCCTGGGGACAGGCTGGGGGGGGTGGGGGGGGGCGGGTGGGGGCGGGAAGCTCCGGGGAGACCTCAGAGCCCCTTCCAGTGCCTGGGGGGCTACAGGGAAGCTGGGGGGGCTTTTCCCAAGGGCAGGGAGTGACAAGACAAGGGTTTAACCAGGAAGAGGGAGATGGAGATGGGACATCAGGAAGGAATTCTTCCCGCAGGTGGGGAGGCACTGGGACAGGTTGCCCAGAGAAGCTGTGGATGCCCCATCCCTGGAAGTGTCCAAGGCCAGGCTGGATGAGGCTTGGAGCAACCTGGTCTGGTGGAAGGTGTCCCTGCCCATGGCAGGAGGCTTGGAACTGGATGGTCTTTAAGGTCCCTTCCAACCCAAACCATTCTGTGATTCTATGATCATTTAATTCAGGGCCTGAGGGTCTGGCTTTCCCCTGTTTGAGCCGTAACAGGAGTTTAACCCGGGTTTGTGCCGCTTGGTTTTTGTTAAGGGCCGTTTTGAGCGGCTCTTCCCAGCTCGGAGCTTGCAGTGAGATCAAAACGCCTGACGTTGGGGGTTTTTGGTGATTTTTTTTTTAATTTCTTTTAATGGGCAATACATGCTAAGGAAGGGGCAAACAACATCTCTGTCCAGCGTTCTGTCTGAACCTTCGAAGTCAAATTATCTTCCGTGCATTGCTCTCTAAAAGTCAAGAGGTGAGAGGGAGTGCGTGGTGTTGGCTGAGTTGGATCAGAGGCAGAGTCCGAAGCGTGTAACTCGGTGTGGCTTTCAGGTGGGTGGAATTCAGCGCAGGGCAGCACACATGAGGTGGCAACCTGATTAGAGTGTGTAATGATAAATTTATAGTGGGAGCTTTTAATCAGTGAGGTGGAAATAAAAGATAGAATAGGTTCCCACAGTCGTGCCCTGTTTCAGCAATCGGGTCGCTGTAGCTGTGGATGCATCCTATTCTGTTTTTATTAAAAAGAACTTCTGTCTTGAATTCCTTAAGCCTTCTTCCTTGCTAGTAGCACTGTGAGGCAATCAAATAGTTCTTAAAAATGGGATTTTTGTGTTTGTTTGCTTGTCTGTCATGGTATTTAGTTACAGACACATACAACCACCTCTGCTTTACATCTGTTTGAGTTTGCAAACTGGAAAATAAGACTTCAGTAATCCCGTAGTCTTTGCATATGGAATGGGTAAGTGGGATGATGATGAACCCTCGTATGTCAGTAACAGACTGAACGGGGCTCTTGAATACCTGCTGTGCTGTTAGTGCCGTCCTCTCGCAGGACTACAACTCCCAGTGTTCTTGTCACTTCAGACAGCACTGTGCTTTAATGCCACAGACAGTTTCCCACATGAACACAGTAAGCAGAAGGTATGATGCTGTGTGCTAAACAATGATTCCAGAGCTGTAGTTTGACAATACAAAGCATTTGGGAGCAGTCCCAGCTTAAGTGCTCCTGACCTTTCCCCCCGACCCTCCCATAACATCCTTTTGTACCGTGATTCAGGCCAGCAAGGTTCAGACTTCGGTGACTGCCCTGCTTTGGGCGCTGCTGGGATCTGCAGTGGTTTTGCTGGCATGGAGGGAGGATGGCATGGAAGTCGGCACAAGCAGGCGAGGGGGCAGCAGGGCTGCTTGTGGTGTTGCGCTGCTCTGAAGTCTTCACTGAACTCTGGTGCTGTTTGTGCCAGAGGCGGTGGGGCTGCCCTGAATGGCTAGGGCCCGCTGAACCTCTGTGAGTCCCACAGCTGAACTGTTGCAGCAGCTGACACTTTTCCTTCCCCTTTCAGTGGTCCTGCTGCTGCTCCAGCAGTACTGCATCCTCTCGCGCCTGCGGGATCTTTCGCTGAACCTGCTCAGCACATTAAACCAGCAGAAAACTACCTGCCCTCTCCTCTGCTGGGTTAATCAGGTTAAACTGGGTTATGGAGTGGTCCGCTAAGCTCCAGAATCAACGGAAATGTTTGTGTGAATTGGCATGGGGGAGGAGGTTAATACTCCTTCTGGAAGCAGTGAGCTTTTGGGTTGTCCCTGTGGAAGTCTGCTGAGTGCTGGAGCTCAGGATGCTTTGCTCAGCCGGTCATTCAGCTTCACCCTGGGAGGGCATCCAGCGGAGGAAGCAGGGGTGGGCAGCAAGGGGAGAGGAGAAGGTGCAGGAGCAGGTAGTGCTGCGTGTGCATTCCACTCGTTTGTAGTGGTACATCATTGCTTCTGTGCCTGCACCGCTCTTGGATTAGTATCCACACTGACACACAGAAATCACGTGGCTTCAAAGGAATTGGCACGGGAGTAAGTAGGAATGTAAAGACTGAGCTGTGGATGGGGGATTGGAGCCTGGCTTTGGATCCACGTGTGCTCTTACAAACCTGCGTCCTGGGTTTACATCCAGTCTGTAACAGTTTGAACTGACAGTTTTGACACGCTTTTACAGTCTCTGATGTGCCATTATTAATCCTTGTCCAGTTCTGCACTGAGCTTATTCTGAGAACTAACTGGTTGAAAAGAAACACTCAACCCTTTTTTTTTTTACTGTTTAATTTCTGGTCCAGGTCATCCCAGGGGCAAAGAAAGTCAAAAGTGTGTGTGAAAAAAGGTGTCTGGCATCTGCAGGGGTGGGACTGAAGTAGCCCTTCCCAGGTAGCTTTGATCCTGTTGGGGAATTGCAGCCTCAGCTCCAGAATCTTTGAAGTCCTGGGGGACCACCTGACCTTTCTTTAAGCTACAACTTGGACTACAGAGATTATAAGAAAGTCCCAAATACCTTCTCTTTTTTTTTTTATTTTGCCACTTCTGTGGTTGCAAAGATCTCTCTTCTAGGCCTGGTTTTGCTGTGTTTTAGTATCAATAATCATTTGTGGTGTAACATCCAATATTAGGTTCCCTTTGTCCCTAGAGGACTTGTCAGCATGAGTCTGATGTGGAGAGTGTTGAGAGCAAATCGCATCTGAAGATGTATTAAAGGTCGCATAGTGATGACGAGAGGGGCACGTCTTGCGCTCTTTTAGGTTAGCTGTTGGCACCGGGAAGGAGTCCTGCAGCGTTCGTGTCTCGGGAGAAGGAGTAGAGGCTGAAGAAGCCTGCTTGCAGTCCTCAAGTTTGTCGTTTGACTGGTGTGAGAAAAAAAAAGGCAGCAGTAGATGGAGACAAAGGTTTTCTTGATCGTTAGGCTGCTAGGCTCACATAAATAATAATTTTTCACAAGAATGTTTGCCCGGCTTCGCTAAGTGACTTTTGGTTTGCTTGGGGAGGACCTCTGTTGTCATCTGGATCAATGTCTTTTGCAGCGAAAGCAAATATTTGTCCTGGTGCTTAGCGTGGTTTGAGTATTCTCCTGTGGCCACACTCCTTCCCTTTGCCGTCCTCCTTTCCTTGTCAGCACTGTGCACCTTAGGCAGAACTGCCTTGATAGTACCCTTCAGGAAGATCAGGTTCCCTCTTGGAGCAGAGTACACCTTTTTGCAGCTGGAAGCGTAGCTGCTGTACCTGAGAGTTGTCAGAAACGCCAGCTACCGTACTGAACATCTTCCTCCAGAGTGTTGCATGTCAGTGTTCACCTACAGGTAATGTTCGTGGTAGTCGTCCTTTACCTCTGCTGCTCTTGAACTGCAGCACAACACAGGGTGTAGTTCAGCCCTGGTTTGCAGAGACCAGGGCTGATGTTAGTGGAAGCCTTTAATGTAGGTTTCCATGCCCCTTATTACCACTGTTAGAAAAATGGGGAATGGGCTTTAATTAAGAGTCTGTAAAATGAATTGATTGAAGAGCAGAAAGGGGAGTTTAAGAGTGAGTTTGTCATTAGGTGTTTGTGGTAGTCCAGATCTTCACAGCTCTGAGAGGAGTTCAAGTAGGATGCTTCACAAGAGAGCTTGGGGGGGTTGGGGTTTTCCCCTCTCCCTGTTAAATGTATGTTGTCAGGCAAGCTCCATGAACGGAGAGGGGAAGAAACCCAAAAACCCAACTTAGCATCATCTAGTACAGCTTTGGCTGCAAGATTTCCAAGGTTGGATTTCTTTTTTTGTGTAGAGATGTCTGGTTCTACACATACCTGAATGCAGTGAATAGGGTTTTCCATGGCAGACTGTAAATTTCTGGTTTGTTTTCTGAAGGCTGTATCTGGTAACTTCCTGAAGAATTTCTGTCTGTATGCAGAGTAGCTTTTGAATTCTGATAGTCAAACTTTTGGTTCCAGCTATCTTAAAAGCTTGCTAGTCCAGTAAAATAGACATTTAATTGGGTGTGTATTTGGAAATGCTCTGTTTTTGGAGTTACATAGCTGTGTGTGCTTATCCATGTGTATGTGTGGCTATGTAAATACATACAAAAGAGTTTATATATATTGTGTGTGTGTAGCACGAGTTGTCCTTAGCAATTTGTCAGCTTCAGAATTCCGTCTTTGCTTCCAGATGTGGTTGTAAGTTGTAGGACAACAGTTCACCTGTGGATATATATCTCTTTGTAACAGTTCCCTGTACTAGTGCTAAGGAACTGCTTTTCTTTCTTCCTAATGCAAATGCAGAGCACACCTCTTCCCACCCTCCCTCCCTGTTTTTCTTTGGTGTGGGGTTTTTTTTTTTTCCTTTTTATTAAAATCTGTGTCTTGGAAACAGTTTCCCAGTAAGTTCTAATCATGTTTATATTTTGTTTCCAGTAGAAATCGGAACTGAAATTATTCATCGACTTCTCCAAGCCTTTTGAAAAGTGACTAAATGCAACTGAGTCAGCTTGTCTGTGGGAATGAAGTGGCTGGGAGAATCCAAGAACATGGTGGTGAATGGCAGGAGAAGTGGAAGCAAGTCTTCTAATGACCATGCACAGAATCAGACCAAATTGCCACATGCAGGAAAGGAAAATCCGAAGACGGGCAAAAATGGGGTTGAAAGAAGATCAAGCAGATGTATGTACATGTTTATGTGGCTTAGCGCTGTACGTGATTGTCAGTTTGCAAGTCAGGCTTCTGTCTTGTCTTAATTCATGAAGAAGGCCTGCATGCAGCACGTAGCTATCATCAGAAGCATTAATTATGTTTGTATTTGTTGGATGTGTTAACTCACTGCAGGAATATAGATCTCTTCAAATCAATTTAAAAGTTAAGTGAGAATAACTGGGTGTAAATTAATTTTGAACTGGTACACGTATAGAATACAGGATTGTCACTGTGAGAACTAGTGGGATTAGAAATGGATAACATTGATCACTTAAACTGAAACAGCCCAAGTTTTAGTGAATGCACATGTAGAAGTAAACCCCATTTTGAATGAAGTCGCATGAATCAGTAGTCAGGAAATATCTTTAAGGAACATGGATTTTATTTTTGCTGTTGGTCTGGCATAAAGGACTAAGTACAAACTCAGACTAAGTCCTTTATTAAGATTTTGGGAAAATCAGGTTTGAAATGTTCATGGCTTCATCGTGTTTATAGGTCAGAAACTTTGGAGTCAGGCATGACTGAACTGTGTAGTCTGGGAGGATGCTTGTAGTTGGGGAGGGAAAGATTAATTAAGGACACCCATAAAACGTACTCTAAAATACTTTCTCCGTTGGCTGCTTTGTAAAATACCTGAAGAAACAGGAGCACAGTTAATTTTTCACCTTTGTTTTTATTCATCTTTCCTAATTGTTCTATGGTTTTTTTTGTCTCCAACCTGTGGCTTTCTGTCCCTGAGCATAGCTGGGCTTTATAACATTCCTTGCATGATACCTGATTTATGCTTTCTTATTTGCAGGTAGCAGTGCTTCAGGATTTGAGGGTCAGAGTCGCTATGTGCCTTCCTCTGGAATGTCTGCGAAGGAACTGTGTGAAAACGATGACCTAGCAACTAGTTTGGTTCTTGATCCCTATTTAGGTTTTCAGACACACAAAATGAATACTAGGTAACTTGTCTTTATTTTCTAGCAAAGAATTGATCTTCTTAGTTGATGTAATCAGAGCGAAACTGTGGAATTTCTTGCATGTGTATGAAAGTCTGGAAAAAAAAAAGCAGCTTCTGCCTTTAAAACGGTGTTGCATGTGAGGCTGGAACTCTGAGATCTGTAGCAGTGTTCGTTTGTAACGCTGTTGTAGGTCTTTGCCAGACCTCCTGTGTGTTGATGGTGTAGAACAGGTTGTTCATACTGTGTCCTGGCTTGAACGGTTAACTAATCCTAAGTTTTAAACCACTGATCATTGGTCATTTGGAATATTTCAGAGATGTTAGTGTTTGACTTCTCTGTTTATTTAATGTGCTCACGTGTTTTTTGGTGGTGGTTTGATTTAAAGAAATACTCCACCTCTTGCAACATCACAAGAAAGAGAGAATTCCTGAGCACTTCCGTGTTGGTGCCGCTTCATCTTAAGCTCTTGCAGACCGTGCTGGAGCGGTGCGACTTGGACGTGTCTGTGTGCGTGAGAGAAATCTGTGCACGCTGGGAGCTTCCTTACCAGAACTGCACGTACTTGTGCACTGTTGTGCGCCTTGTCTGAACGCTTCTGGTCGAAAGTCAGTACGGTCTGGGCGTTTAGTTGTCGCATGCTGCTTCCGGTTTTACCCATGTACCACTGATTATAAGACTGTTCTGTAGATCTTCATTAAGCTTTCATTCACATACAAGATCCGCATTGCTGGCGTAATGGAGAAGATTTATGTAAATGATAAGTTTCTGAAGACAGGAATCAGGCTTATTATTGAACAATAATAAGAGCTGGGGGTTCCAGGCAGCACATCATAGGAAACATGCTGCTCAACCCTTCAAATTGTTGCTGTGGCTGTTTTCAAAGAAAACCAGTTTACCCGTGCTGTGGGTAGACCAGAGGATTGGTTAAATAGATTTTTGTAAGTCTGTAACAAGCTGATCACTTCAAAAATGACTGCTAGGTTAATTGGGGTTGTCGCCTAATACACAGGGTTGCTGGTGTAACCTGATGGCGTGAGTTGCACGTGAAATTGCAGCAGTGTGGTCCTAATAACTGTAAAGACTGACTCCAAAGAGATTTTTATTTTTTTCCTGGAGAGTGCAACGGATGTTGTAAGAGGAATGCTTGAGGTCCCCTCCGTGTTGGCGCTTCCAGCAGCGCACTCTGCCCAAAACCGTGTCTAGGTAGATATTCTTACAGTTTGGTTCAGAACGTCTTTGTATCTCCAGCGGTGAATAGAGCCAAGTATGTGCTCGAAAGACGTTTTGTTGCAGGAATGGTCGTCTGCAGGTTACCCACAGGTAGTTAATTCTTACTCTTTTTGCTACAGAAATAGGGTATTCGTTGCTTAATAGTTGGAGAAGTTACTTTCATAAATGCTCTTTGCTGCTGCTATGCTTTCAACACCTAAAATACTACTTTTTATTACTAATTTGAATCATAAGACTGCACAAAGGCTATCATATTTTTTCCTGCCTCAGACTTGGAGAATAGTTACAGGCAGTCTTCAAGGACAATAGTTAATAACCTTGGAGCACTATGGGAAAGACTTAGGTGAGGCTTAAAACTTCTACCAGAAACACGTCTTCTTGCCTCTTTCTTAATGTCCTGTTGAGAGAGTTTCTGTTGTTGTTACAGTGAGTTTAAAGAAAGGCATTGGCATAGTTCTTGTTTATCTTTTTGGTATGTTGATGACATCTGGTGGTTGTTGTAGCTCTGTCACTTGGACCATCTTCCTTCCATCTAGTAAGCTGTAGTCTTTCTAGAGCTCCTGATTTACTGGTTTTGCATGGCTTTGAGGGAAGGTGGGGGGAAGCAAATACGAAAAGACTAGACCATTTTCAAAATACCGGATGCCAGTACCCAAATACATGATTGTAGCAGAAACTAAGATTTTCACCTTCTGTTAGGGCATCTTCTGCTTCAGTGTGACAAAGTCGTATTAGTTAGGTAGTTGGTGTGTTGAAGTGTGCTTAAAATAAAACAGCCACTTACGATGGCAAGCAAATATTTCCTGTTTGGTGGCTCTGATTTGTTTGAGGACATACTGTGGAGGTCACCATGCCAGCATCCCGCTTTGCTGTTGCAAACACCTAAGAGGTTTGTGTTTCCGCAGCTGTAGCATCCCTGTGTAAGTTGATGACCACTTACTGCACTCGTACCTTACTTCTGGAAGCCAAATCTGTATTTTTTGCATGTAGAAGTGTCTTCTGTATAAGCACTTTCAGTACTTCATTCATTCCTTTAGTTGAGAGTTTGTAAAGACCTCTTGTTTCATCCAGAGTATATTGATTAGAGGAAAAAAACCCTCATGTAACTGTAGTAAATATTTAGCTCATAGACAGAACATCTGTTTTCCATCTTACCTATATGGAATTAGTGATCTTGTGGTTGAGTGGTAACAAGAACTTTAGTTTTTTGGGCGGGGGGCATAAAAATGCCCTCCATCTTGGGAATTGGGCTCTTAGCTCTGTAAGCTCTCAAGTCTGTAATGTCTGAGAGAGCTAAAGACTAGTTCTCAAAGGATTACAGTCAGATCCCCCAATGAGCTTGGCCAGTGCTCCTCTGCACTGCCTTCTTGTTCCCAGGGATCTGATGGACAGCATAAAACGTAGCTCTGGAAATGTCTTCAGTGGCTTTACTCAAAAGTAACTTTTTTGGTCACCCTCTTGGATTTCTAGGAGAAAGCAGGTTGTTTTCAGAGCTTCTGTCCCTCTTTACGGGCCCTGTGGTGATTCTTTCGTCAAATTGGTAGCTCTTATCTTGACAAAATAGCAGGTTAGCAGGTAATAATAGAGAACCCAAACTGCATGTTAGGAAGTATTATCATGTCAAGTACAGCTGTTCTAAGAGCTTTTTGTACAGATCCTGTTGAGGTTTTTTCAGTGACAAAAACTATCCTGGCTGTAAGATTGATTAAATCTTAGACATGCCTGTTCTTTTTGTACAGGCATAACTGATCTTGCAAGCTGTTACTTCCTGGGATGAAGGTTGGCGGACACTAGAGAATAAAACTGACACTTGTAGAAAGCAAAGTGAATTCTTATCTTACCATCTTGTATTTTCAGATGCTTTTCCCTAGGCTGAGCGCTGAATCGTGAAGCTGCATGCCTTAATGTCTCCTCCGCTCATTATTATCTTGCATATGAGTGTGTAGTCCAGGAGAGTCTGGGGACGTTTCCTAACGCTGTAGTGTTGCTTTCAGTGAAGTTACAAACTGGTGTGTGGTCTGGGTGGTTTTGTCTAATAACGTGAGACTCGAGGACCAAGATTGAAGAATTTCCTTGTTTTCCATAGCAAACGAAGTCTCTGGGGATGACATACAGGAAGCTGCTTTCTCTCGGCACTGCTCCAGGACCAATTGCTGGCCTTGATGTAAACTGTCAGTAATTCCTGAACTTGACAGGGTACATCATTCTTTGCGCCTTAGAGTCACTGTTGAGCAATAAAGACAAAAAAGTCAAAGCAGTTCCATATCATGGGTCTGTGCTGATCTCTCCTGTGTTCCTCAGCTCATTTCAATATCATAATTCAAGGACTCAGTATTCATCTTGCACAGTAAAACAAGTCGTATGGGTTCTGCTAAATAAGGTCACGTGGCCATATAGTTCCACTGCAGTGTTATGGTGCTGTGGGGGTACTGGATTAGATGTACACAGCTCTTATGTAATGACATCCTGTTTCAAAATGAAGCTTTCACATTCTTCAGACCTCAGTGCCTGTGTATTTTCCAAAATTGTTTTGTTTGACTTCTGTGTAAAATCTGCTTTCTCCATTTTTTTTAAAGATTTTTGCTGATGTCTTTATAGTCCTTTAGCTTGCTCCTGGTTGTCTTTCTTCACTGTGTGGAATCACACACAGTGATTACATTTGAACCTAACAATTATAATTAGGTTAATTGGGTTATTTAAAAAAGACATTTATTTGTGAGCCATATTAGAGAGAAAGAAATGATGTGGCTATTAGAATTTTCTTTACTTCTGTTCTAGGCTGTATTGGACTTCTGACCACACTGGTGCATGTATAGTTCCAGTTCAAGAAATTTAAGTAATGTGGATTACTTTCTTTCTTAAAAATGCCATTTTGAGCTTTGACCTTTAAAGGATGTGGGGTTTTTTTCCAGTTAACAACACTGGAGACTAAACACAGAACAAGTTGATTTTTATATAACTGGCTTTTAATTAAGATACCCATACTACAGGGTTGGGCAGGGGGGAAGCCAAAATCTATGTTAACTAAATTATTTTTTATCCCCACCTATAACAAAAAAGTAGATGATTTTCAGCTCTTGTTGTGCTGTCTTGAATGCTTAACAGCCTTGCAGTTACAGCTTTTGTGCTGGATCTCTGGTATTAGATGAACAGTAACTTGCTGTCTTTCCATAGCCACTTAAATAAAAATACCATCCACCAAAGAGGCTAATGGGATGCTGTGTTTTGATGAATTCGCTCTTCTTGATGTTTCCTAGTCAGAAGTGAAATAGGTTTAGAAGTACAACTCTGTTGTGCACTGGTACACTTTGTGGAGTTCCGTACTGGATCTCTTGCAGGATCAGTTTATCCTTTTTGTTCAAACTCACTGCTCTCAGTGACTGAGTGAGGTACTGTGCTTCTGAACTTACCAGAAACTCTCCTTTAACTTCCTTTATAGGCAAGCATCTCACTGACCTTTGGCTTTATACCTTGGAGTTTCAAGATTCTTTAAGTATTCCCGAGGTAAGAGAAACTTGAGAGAGAGAAAGAGCTTTGTTTCCCCAAGCCATTTTCCTGTGTCTTTCTTATTAAGACCACCTCAGTTTGCCCTCAGCTGGGATAAGATCATCATCTAGCTAATTTTGAAATTGCAATAGCCATAGCTTTTTTGGATCTTGTTGACTAGGGAAAAATAAATATTTCCTAGGGAGGTGTGAAAAGTTTCTGTTCTGCAGCTAGAGAGGAAGAAAGGCTGTTATTATAAGAGCTGTTCATTCTTAGGTTACTTTTAACAACAGACTGTTTTGCAGCAGACTCCATGCTCTGTGAGACCTGACCCCTAAAGCTGTTGGTAGGGTGGCTCAAGGAGTCTGTGCCTGTGAGCACATTCAAACACCAGTGTGTCTTGTTCAGTTTCCAGGATGGAATCTAATAAAGGTGCTGTTCAGAGGAGCAGACCAGAAGTTTGGATAAACAATTCTGATTTTAATTGACTCTCTGTTCAGAGACTGGGTTGACTGGTTTGTTTTGCTGGTTTTCTTGTGCTCTTTCTATCTCTCTATTTCTCTTCTTTGAACTGGTCTCCTGTTTTACTGACACTTAAAAGCCAGATTCTTTGGCTCAGTTATGTAGAACTTCAGCCGTGGGGTCTTTTCAGGCTCTCTTCATGGTGGTGCTCAAAAACAGTCAAGTAGACTTTTACAGCAGATGAATAGTTTTGGGGCTTTTTTTAATGCAGTGTGTAAGTGAGGAAGCCCTGTAACAACATCCAGATGATAGGGTTTAAGGTTGTTTCTCAAACCCGATTGGCTGGTAGGTAGTGCTGGTGAGGACTAATGTGTCGACTGCTCTTTAACCATACTCCTGGGAGAAGTGTCTATCACCAGACCTTCAAATTCTTAAAGAACACTCGAATTCTAGGCTTTCTTGGCGTATTGGTTGCTGCTGTGTCTCAAATCAGAAGGTTTCTTGTAAAGTCTGTATGGAGATACACCGGTGAAAGTACCAAGGCTTTCATGAGGTGTCTGGGCTGTAGTATTCTGGATTAGCTCGTAAACTTCATAGGCTCTCGGTGCAGTTTACATGTGCTGTGGAGCCGTGAGCAACTCGCTAACTCGGGCTCAGGGTGCAAAGTGGCATTCCGGTTCATTGATTGAGGAACCCTTGAAGTGAAATGCTGTACATCATGGTGTTGGCTTCCAGCATCTTCCCATGTACTTGTGGACACTTCCTGCTTGTTTGGATTCCTGTTTATCTTTTCTCGTTATCTGTCTAGTCACAATGTAAAAAATACCAGTACAGCCTTTCGATAGAGGTGCTGCAGGAGGTCCTTGGTATTAATTTTTGAATGCTTGGGTGCCAGAGTCACGGGTTTTGACAAAACCCAGGCCTGTTTCAAGTTTCAGATGCTTGGCATACAGCGTAACATTAATCTCGCCTTTTAACGATGGGAGGTTTTTAGGGTCTCGTCACCCCCTTCCTGCTTCCAGCCTACTTTTGGTCTTTTCAAGGCTTGGGCATATGCACTACCTGTTCTGCTTCTGGGGAATGAGTTTCTGCTAGACATTTAAAGGAGTTCCATCAGCAGTGTGGAATGCCCGAGACCGAGAACCTGTAGAAAAACCTGCTAAATGTGATGTGTGGAGATAGGTGGGTGACTTTGGAAGGGTTGGGGCCAGTTTCTGACCTGCCTGAGGTATCTAGTCAGGTAGATCTCTAGTCAGCCTCTGAGAATGGGATATTGTGAAAGATCTGAAATATGAGTGTCACTTTGGGGCTCTAAGATGTGTTCCTCATTGCTAGAAAACCAGTTGTAGACCAGTTGGAGCGAGTCCAGAGGAGGCCATGAAGATGATCAGAGGGCTGGAGCCCCTCTGCTGTGATGAACGGCTGCGCGTGTTGGGCTTGTTCAGCCTGGCGAAGCGGAGGGTC